AGAGAGAGAGAGAGAGAGAGAGAGAGAGAGAGAGAGAGAGAGCGATAGAGAATTACCAGATCAGTTGGTATATCGAAGTGTACGAGAGACAATATTCCGTTTTGTAATATCTAATGGTATGAAACAAAACAACAGTTCAAAATAATTATAGAATTGTTATACAAAAACTAAATTCAAATCATACATACAGTGAAGTCATATCTATGTCTATGCATAGTATCCAGAAGTTTAGTAATTATCACTCGTTTGACTTTAAAATTGAAGTTATGGTTCGCTAGATCTGAGTGAACGATATTAAAGAGCAAAATGGTGGCCACGGTTTGGATGTACTCGTTATGCAAATGTCTGGACATCGATCGCAACACAATATCGAGCGCTCGGTTCACGTCATGAAAGTTAGTCTATAAACCAAACAACAAAATAAGTTATTCATTGCTATTTCAGACTCCAATCGTACTTCAAGATGGAAACAGTTGAACAGATCATTGAGTGTACGCTCCAAGAACTCGACTCTATCGATATAAGCTTCACAAGCAGTCAGTATCTGCTCTTCAGTGGCGTCGCCCGAAACCTATTAATTGAAGTAAAAAATTAATTAACAAATTGTGGTATAAAAGTGATAATCACTGACTGAATGGGCGGGTATTGTGCGCCTATAGGCCGCCTCATTGGCCGTATTATAGAGTCCTAAATATTCAAATGGTGTTGTGTTTCGTGAAACTAATCCCGGGATATATTCGCAGTCTTTGTAACATTAGAAAAACATTTAGTTTTTAACGCATTATCTCTATAGGGATGCCGTGACTTACTCTCCCCGGCGAGATTAGTGCCCGATATGTCCAGTCGTGTCAGTTCGGGCAAAGAGTTCGCTATAAGTGCCAACTGTTCGTTAGGCTCTTCATAAACATGTCCCCAGTCTTCATCAGTGGCTGAGATGTCGAGACAACTGCTCATAAAACATAATCCATTAATAAAACTGTCCCGAAATGTGCAAAAGAGTTACCGTAAAGACTTAATCTTAGCGATACTACTGATGGCCAGATGTAGTCGCGGACAGTCGGCTAAAATCAACGTTTTCAATGCCCGCAACTGTTCCAGTGGTGAGCCGTCATCGATATCGCCATCACTAAAGATGAAACATTTTGAGCTTTTCATATGAGAGACAACTTCGCACATACCTTAAGTCTAAGTGCTGTAACGTGTGTTGCATTTGAGAGTTAATTATATGCGTGAGATAAGGGGGCGACCAGTCGATTGAGCTCCACTGGTGTAGCACTAGTTTACGTATTGTTAACAATGGGCTAATTAGATAACTATTTGATGACAACTCCTGGAAAAAAATTGCATTTAACTATTAGTTATGTTAAAAAGTAGTTATCAAATGATGGATAGTCTCACCCCATCTTCGAGACTGTCTTTGTAATACTCGGGCAGTATATTCACTGCGCAGCCGATAATGAGTGTCTGGAGGGGCGACGGCTGCCATGTGTTGATCTCTAAAGTCTTGATCCGATTGTCGCCCAAATTCTTACTGAAACTCTCCGACGGCTTATAGTAATCGCATTCACTCACAGGAATTGGTGACCGTTTGGTCGCTACGGCCGGCACTCCATCGCATTCAACGGCCATCGCTTCGTCCGATAGTCGCCAATCGTAACCCCGAATGTCATTCAATTCGCCTATTTTTCGGGCCTTAAAGTCACTGAAATCCGAGTCATCGAAGACACCCATCGCTTGTGTCAGAGAGTAATCATCGGTAATGATTCCCACCTCTTCATCGACAGCGCAGTTGTCTCTCGTGGTTGTGATGACACCATTGGAGTAATCTTTGGTGTATAAGACACGGCACTCATCATCCGGACCCTCCTCTATGACCCGTACTGTGCGGTGCAGTCGACGCGGATCTACAACACGAGTGAGCGCTGTATTGATGTGCGTTAGGGCCCGACCCGTCAGCTGCAGACAGTCGGACACATTTAAATGAGTGATGCTCTTCGAGTGCTCCTCGAGAAACGATTCCAGTGTCTCGTCACTGATGGACAGGTCGGCAAAGTTGGCCACACATACGCGGCTATTATTGGCCCCGAATTGGGACAAAAACTTTGGCAATGAGTCGCTCATGAGTTTCCTGTCATTCATATGCGTCTCCCGATAGACGTGAATGAGTAAATCGCAGATCTCGTGCGGCAAAGACACGGACCGCACGTCTAGACTCTCTCTGACCACATATCGGATACACGTGTGTAATAGAGAGTCGGGACTGTTGTCCGAAAATTGGGCGCCGCGTTTGGCCGCCACTCCTCTGTCGCTCATCAATGCCATCAATGTATGTCTTCGTGGATGCGATGATATAAATGAAATTGAAAAAACAACTCAATTAACACAACAGTTATACAAATAGTGTGTTATTTTTTACATGGATTTAACAGTAAATGCAAACAAAAATCACGTATTTTTTCGTCAAATAAATTAATTAAAAGTTTATAAATAAAAAATGACTAAAACTGAGGCATTAGTCACACATGAGATCCAATTCATACAAAAAGTCACACAAATTCTTGTGTTAAACAAAAACGGCGTAAGTCTTGGGATTGGATCCTATGAAGAGTTACTCGAAATTCACAGCGATTTGACATGTCTTGGGATTGCGATAATCGCTATAATTATGACAATAAATACTACAGAATTATTACTAAAACAAAATTTATAATAAAATATTTATTAAATTGTTATCAATTTAAAAGCAAATTTACAATTAAAAACTTTTCAATAGCAATGCATTATAGAATTTCAATATAAGGTATTATAAAACATGTAATTTTTAAGATAAAATATGTTATGAATTTTTATAAACAAAACATTACAGCAATTATGAAAAATAGTGACCAAGAATTTAATGATAATCACAATAAATAGACTGAAAATGACAATTAATGGATAGAGAAGTGGACGGTTAGCCCCCAGTGATCGCTGGGAAAGCAAACGCTTGGTTTGAGTCGTGTAAGACCTGTGAGACCGAAGTGAATGGCCTCCACATCGGCGGCAGTCGACGGCCGCACAAACACTCTGTCAAACCGGAAACGAGGCTTAAATCGGGAACCGCTGTTGAACTGGAGATTGTCATTACGGGTCATATCCCACGTGTATTCCACCTCTTTTCGGGCGCCCGTCTTAATCCACACGTCGTATACATTACTGGGAATTCCTCCACAGTTTTGCACCTATTGTTACATTGAGTTGTAGTTCAGGCAAAGAGAGACAATTTCAAGTGATGTATACCTCGACGTCTCTGAGGTTGAGATCACCACCAAATATAACGGTCGATGTCTTCTCCATTTGACACATCTCTCGGAAAGCGGTCCGCAATTGTTGGACACGAATGTCAGCGAAATCTTTAGTACTTTCCAAATGTGTGTTCAATAGACAGAGCGAAGCGTTTCCGATACTAACCTATTATGACATTAAAAACACATTCAAATAAAATTTCAATCAAAAAATCAAATCAGTTGATCCCTAACTCTAGTCTTCAGTAAATTTCGACCCATCACTGAGTCGGAAAAGCCAATGACTTCGTTGGACACGAGTTTGACGTACTTCTTGTGGATGAGTGTCATTGTGTAGTACTCGACAAAGACTTGATTCCCACTAAAGAACTCGTAATCGGGAAGCGATTGCCTTAATATCTCTTCAGACGCTTTGATCACTTCCTGCAAGAAGACAATCACTGCCTTTCCGTCTTTGATATGTTTGGCCACCGATTCTGTTCGGAGCCGAAGATTCTTCTCATCGATTCCATCGATATTCCAACACAAGAATCCAAAGTCTTTCACATTTGTCTCCACTTCTGGTTCGGCGGACGAAGAGCTCGCGACCTCTATTTCGGTGACTTTCCTTCTTATGGTTAAACAAATCAATAACTATTTGATTCATTGGTTTATTCAATGGCCGACACCACTGGCGGATCAGATGACAACTCACTTCGGGGCCGACGCGGCGTTATAGACAACATCGCAATCGTTGCTGTCATCGCTGGAACTGATGGCCACTTCAGCGATGGCTCGTTTGGCGGCCGCCGTCGTCGTCAACAGTGACTGTTGTTGTGATTGTTGATCAAAATAGTCGCCGACAGACAGTTGTAGATCCCATCGGCGGTCCTGGAGGTAGAACTGGGCCAACGCCTCATCCGTTTCGGTCAATCGGACGAACTCTTCGACCAATTGCTGGCAAATCTCAACCGACGGCACGTCTTCCCCGTCGTCGCCGTCATCGATGGTCTCAACCATTGTCTCATCGTTTGTGGCCATTGTTTGCGATCTCTCTTAAGAAAAGTGTGGATTAAAAACGAGTTATTCAATGGATTTGGGATTCAATTAAATTCACAAATTGTTTGTCAAAAAACAATTCACAAAACGTTTTGACATTTGATTTGATTTTGTGTTTTGAATTCAACCAAAACTTTTGAACTCAAACTTTGCTTCTCATTCATATAAAACGTTACTTTAATTTAATTAGTTATTAAAGTGTGTATAACTTTATATAATAACCATTAAATGCATTAATTTATTAAACGAGGTAAACATTAACTAAAAACATGATAATTCATTGCAATCAAACATTTCCTAAACATTAATTTATAAACAATTTATATATCAATAGTTTATTTCATTTTATAGCGTAATTGTTGTTCAGATTACACATCAGTTTAAATGCCCAAACATTGACGACAAGTTTATGTGCGTTCAGACACAACACATGGCATACCATTAGTGACGCCAACACAGCATTCGCCACACATTTAGACACAAACACCCAAAACATAGTCCAAACGTTAATCAATACAAACGTGTGCTAAACGTATGGCTGAGACACAGATACTCGTATGACATAAGCAGTGAATCACGTGATGTAAACAGAGAGCGCTTCGCATAACATCTGAATGCGAATAAAAGGAGACATCGATTACAGGCATAAACACTGCAAACACTGCCAAACGCTTCACTGTTTTACTGAATAGTTATGAACTGAACGCTAGTGTTAGCCAAACAGTCAGTCCATTGTGTTGTTTGCTGTGAACGCTATTATCAGCCGATATTCACATATCATTTGTTAATATTCTGATCGTTACTCAAGAATATTAACATCTGATTCACTCATACCTATTGTATACCACTTTATTTGTGACAATCAATACAATTAACTAATCGTTTATATCAACCGTTAATCGCGTTCATAATTTTCGCGATATTTATTATTAAAGTGTGTTTTATTTGAAAATTTAAATTTCATTTATTTTGTGCATCTATTGTGTGCTTACTATTGGTTTTTGTCATTCATTTCAATGTAAGTATTGTTTAATATTTTTATTATACAAAAGTTTTGGTTCACTATAACGAGTACTGTATACTCACTATACGTTGATTAGTGTACTTCTCATACAATCTCTATATCATAGATGCTGAGCGGGGCATTTCTGCGGGCAAATGTGATTATATAGAGTGCAACTGTTCATACATAGTGTTATAGTCATAGAAAGGAAGGGTGAATAATATGAGTATGCTTTCAATTTAAGGGCAC